TTCCCTACATTTATACAAAGTTAGATACAGGAACACCTAAGAAGCAGTGTTCCTTCCTAAGACAGAGACAATGTGTATATGCATATGATTTTATAAAGGAAAAGAATCATTGTGCACTTTTTCAATGAACATGTACTGGGAATACTAGGGAGCTCACCGACTAGTGTTAGATTGTCTTCAACTGCGGCAAGTGACTAAAATGCAAATACAGAAGGCAAAGCAAGAACAGTTCATAAACTCTGGCTGGTTAACTTCCACAGCCAAGATACGAATTTAAAAAAAATTCTGTCTAGTTGAGCTAAATGAGTAGACGTTCCCTCTGTGTAACTCTGAGTAAGTTACCACAACACTCACTCTCCTTAGTTTCAGTCACTTGCCTTAGATGAAGACAGCATTTCTGTGCACTTCTGGGTTGGTTCAGCTGCTCTTGCTTTGATCATGGCTACACTCATGTTCTTTTCATCAGGCAACTTGCTATCTTAAGGGTGTAGGCTGATGACCCTGAGAAGGTGAGCCAAACCAAACAAGTGAAGGTTATCTATAGTTGTGATGGCTTGCTTTAACTATCAAGTAATGATTTTTATTTCATATAATCCCTCTATTTTTATCATTTCCTTAGTTGCTAAAATTTGAGTTTTATTATAATTGAAAAACTTAATTACTGTACCTCTTCTATTTTCTTAGGAGAAGTTTCACTTTTATTACATTTGAATTCTTCATTTATCTTTATTCTGGCTGCTAGAAAAAGAAAAAATATGTATATAGTTATTTGCTTTTCTTTCTTTTCCTTTTTCTTTTAAAATATTTATTTATTTATTTTGGCTGCACCAGCTCGCACGCAGGATCTTCACTGTGGCATGTGGGATCCTTTGTTGCGGCATGTGGGATCTTTAGTTGCGGCACACGGACTCTTAGTTGCGGCATGCATGCAGGATCTAGTTCCCCCGACCAGGGATCAAACTGGGGCCCCCTGCATTGGGAGCATGGAGTCTTACCCACTGGACAACCAGGGAAGTCCCTGCTTTTCTAATTTATAATTCCTGTCCCAATAATTTACATATTATTCATTATACTATGATACTATATGCTATATACACATATCTACTACTTCTCTAGTAGAAAAAATAATTTTTCCCCATGTAAAACAAAGTATAAAAATAAGAAATTTATTTAAAAAGTCCTTGGAGAGCTTTTGACAGGCTGGCAAATTTGTAATTAAACTTAATACATATTTTTAGCACTCTAATACTTTTGTGTCCTGCTTTTTATTTCTAATTTCATTTTGAACCTCTAGCTATGAGACCCTAATAAATTCAAGTTAATACTTTGTTTTTGTAAATCTAAGGATTTGAATTAACATGCTTTTTTTAAGATGGCAAAACTCAATGAATACAAGCATGTTAACCCTGCCCCCCGCCAAACACACATTTAAAATGAAGATATAGCAGCAAAGAGGATATACAAATAATTCTGGGTGCCTTGACTGACAAGTAAAGTGACTGATTTAATAAAACTTTTGTTCATATACCACTGAGACTTTGGCATCACTACAGCAGCATAATTCAATATAACTGATAAATTGCCTTAGAGTGTGCTGTGAGCATTTAATGGAACAATTCATGTACAGTGCTTAGTAAATATGCAGTATTAGCTATTCTTATAATTATTTCACTTAAAAACATTTAAAACATTTAAAAATATGTTATGCTGATGGAGATTAGCCATAAAACCTTCCTTCTGTGCTCGATACATTTCAATATGTAAGGTGGGTAAGAGTTTAGGCTTTGGAGCCAGAATGTTTAGGCTAAATTCCAGCTCCACCTCTTACTAAGTATGATGTGGGGTAAATCCTTTCACATTTTGTCAGTTTTCTCATCTGAAAAAATAGAAATTATGATAGTAACTACCTCACAGGGCTGTGATAAGAATTAAATGAGGAATTTGTGCAAAGTACATATAATATGAGGCATATACTTTAATATTCAAGAAATTTTTTTCGATAAATTACAAAAACTTGAATTCCTAGGGACAGTGGGGACACTACGTACGTGGCCTCTTTTTTTTAAATGGAGGTTGAATTTTATTTTTTTTACTTTTTATTTGGGCATAGTTGATTTATAATGTTATACAGCAAAGTGAATCAGTTATACCTATACATATATCCACTCTTTTTTAGATTCTTTTCCCATATAGGTCATTACAGAGTATTAAGAAGAGTTCCCAGGCTTCCCTGGTGGTGCAGTGGTTGAGAGTCTGCCTGCCGATGCAGGGGACGCAGGTTCGTGCCCCAGTCTGGGAAGATCCCACATGCCACGGAGCAGCTGGGCCCGTGAGCCATGGCCGCTGACCCTGCGCGTCTGGAGCCTGTGCTCCGCAACAGGAAAGGCCACAGCAGTGAGAGGCCTGCATACCGCAAAAAAAAAAAAAAAAAAAAGAAGAGCTCCCTGTGCTATATAGTAGGTCCTTATTAGTTATCTATTTTATATATAGCGGTGTGTATATGTCAATCCCAATACCCCAATTTATCCCTCCACCCCTCCCCAAGGTGCCCTCTTAAAGAGGTTTAGAAACTGAGTATGACCAACACAGAACCTAAGCTTTAGAGCTCTGAGTTCCGGATAAGACAGAAACCACTTTAAACAGTGAAATACTGAATTTGGAATCATTTGTGATAGATTCTCTTTCATAGCTGCTGTCACTTCTAGAAAGACACAAAGCATTAACAATATGGTAGTATCTGGTCCTAGAGGATGTGAAAATTTGATTATATAAAAGACAAATTAGTTTCATGGCTTGAACATAAGGCAAGTAATGGAGCACACTGAAATTCTGATCCTTTTTTTTTTCCTAATTTTTTATGAAAAGTTGATCTTTAAAATTTTTTCTTTGTAGATACTTCTCAAAGAAGGGTAAGGTAAACTCATTTTTATTTAAAAAAACATTAGGGGAGAGATCGTGAAGGTCATTCCCCAAGATAGGTCTTGACCACCATACATGGTCTCTTGTATTATTAGCAGCCACCTAAAGAATGGACTTGCTCCAAAGGGGCAAAATATAAACTTACCTTCTAATGCCCTAGCATCATTTTTAAAAACTTGTTGTCTGGTCCTGTGCAGTGTTTTAAAGAGCTGTAAAACCTATAAAGAAAATTAGAATTCAGACCTCAAAAGAAAAAATTTCACATTTTACATAATTACATGAATTAAACAGTATTTATTTTCTGTTTGTTTTTTAGACTATTTTTCGAAATAGTTGGTGAAAACAAGCGTTGGCCAAAATAACTTTCCCTTGATTATTTATCTTTAAATTTAAAAAAAATTAGCCTTATGTATTTACAAAAACAATACAAAATTCTTTGAAACAAAACAATATGAGAATGGTTAAAAAGTTAATGATTCCCCCTGCCAAAACTAGTTTGCTAAGTTAACCAACTTTACCAGTCTGGTATTTGTTCTTATTTTGCTTAACCTGAGAACTTTATCTGCTCTTAAAGTCATACACACATGCACACAAACTCATGAATATACTACATCTTAGAAGAGCCCAGAGGGAGATGTTTCAGATAATTTAGGCAGGTTTAATTGTGCTTTCTCAAAAAAGAAGTGGAATGCTGAGACTTATGAATATTCTAAGACTGTGCTAAAAAAAACAAAACAAAAAGGTATTCAATATTGTCCCCCCAATATTGCTCTTTCTTCTGTCTTCTCAATTTCAGTTATGGAAAACAATGGATTTCTCAAGCCAGAAATCTCTAGGTCATTCTTTAAATCTACCTTACTCCTCATGTAGAAACTGTAGGGATGTTTCTCTAATCTTTTGTATATTCTCCATCACCCAAAACAATTTAAGTTCAGACCTCTCCCTATCTTGCTTAGACTACTGACAAAGATCTGTCACTCTGCCACCACTCCCTCCTTTCCCCAAGTCCACTCACCAGATAATACCTAAACTTTACTAAGTATATCCTGTGCGCTAGGCACTATTTTAAGTATTTTACATATACTAGAAAACCTAAAACATCAAAGGCAGATACCAAAACAGAAACAGAAAACAGGGAGCATAAAACATAAAAATAAAACAAAACAAAGACTGACCAACCACAAAGAACCTTCTCAGAAACATAAATTGCAAACATGGAATAACAACAAAAAGAAGTTAGAGTAAGTTTAAAAAGGAACATTCAGAAAATGCCCCCAAACTCTTGGATATCAAAAGAGTGATAGCAAAGATTAAGCTGAGAAAAACTACCCCAAAAGTTGAATAAGAATTCAGAGATACAAAATAAGGAGAGAAAGGATAAGAAAATTAGAGTAGTCTAGATGGACCAACAGTTATATTCACAGATCTCCAACAAGACAGAACAAAGAAAACAGCCTCCATCAAGTGCTCAACACAAAACCCATGAATAATCTTGGAGGGAAAAAAACAGTTCACGTATAAAAAATAGAAAATCAGAATGGTACCTGATTTCTAAATAGCATCACTGTGAGAAGACAATGGTATAAAATCTTCAAGTTTTGTATAAAATGTCCAGCTTAGAACACCATACATATCCAAACTATTACCTAACTGCAACAGCAAATAAAGATTTTTAGAAATGCAAAGTCTCTTATTTGCCATACGCCCTTTCTTGGAAAGCTATAGAAGACTGTGCTCCACCAAAATAAGGAGATGAATCACAAAAGAAAAAAAATGGTAATGAGGGACACAGGTAATCCAACATAGGAGAGGCAGAGATGATGGTGAAGGACAAATATAGGTCAGCATTTGTGCAGCCAGCATAGAAAGCAACTAGTCTGGACTATAGCAAAAGGCGATATTGCTCTACAAAAGATGCTGCTAGGAAAAAACGATACTAGTAGACATCAGTTTTGCTCAGAGTTTGGAAATAGCTATGTAGGAAAATGATAATAAAAACAAGACAGTTATTAACTTCAAGAAAAACTGGGACTTCCCTGGTGGTCCAGTGGTTAAGACTCCATGCTCCCAATGCAGGGGGCCTGGGTTCAATCCCTGGCTGGGCGGGGAACTAGATCCCGCATGCCACAACTAAGAGCCCACATGATGAAACTAAGACTTGGTGCAGCTAAATAAATACATATTTAAAAAAAAAAGAAAGAAAGAAAAACTAAGACTTAGAAAAGAAAGGCAACATAATCATATATTTATATTAGAGGGCTCAGCTGTGGACAAGTTCTATATAGTCATATTAATATCAAAGATGAAAAACTGCTTCACCAAAATCTGTATATTGAGAGGAATAGGGTATAAGGGGGAACTTAGTCCTCAACTTTCATAGACAAAGGTCAATAAATATCCCCAAAGAGAAAAAAAAAAAAAATCAATAGTAGTTTAAACATGTTATTTAGAAACATTGAGGTAAATATCAGAAAAAATAAGTAAAATGATTAAAAGTGCTTATATCTGGGGAGCAGGAATTGGGAGTATGTAGAAGGAAGTAGACACCTACTGGTTTCTGTGTAACACTATTTGACTTCTTAAATTTTACACATTTATCCCCTTTATAAAAACTAAAAAAATTATTTTAAAAAGATAAAGGGGGGCCTCCCTGGTGGCGCAGTGGTTGAGAGTCCGCCTGCCGATGCAGGGGATACGGGTTCGTGCCCCGGTCTGGGAGGATCCCGCATGCCGCGTAGCGGCTGGGCCCGTGAGCCGTGGCCGCTGAGCTTGCGCGTCCGGCAACGGGAGGGGCCACGACAGTGAGAGGCCCACATATCGCAAAAAATAAAAAAATAAAAAAATAAATAAATAAATAAAAATAAAAAGATAAAGGGAAAGGACACTATCAAGAAAGAGAAAAGACAACCCACAAAAGGAAAGAAAATATTTATAAATCATATACCTGATAATGGGCTAGTATCTAGAATGTATAAAGAACTTCTACAACTCAAATAAAAAACTAATTTAAAAATAGGCAAAGGATTTGAATAGACATTTCCCAAATGTCTACCAACTCAGGAATGGATAAATAAAACGTGGTGTATCTATATTGTTATGGCTTGAATTGTGTGTCCCCTCAAAAGACATGTTTAAGTCCTAAATCCTCAGTACATGTAAATGTGACCTAGTTTGGAAGTAGGGTCTTCACAGCTATAACTGAGTTAAAATGAATCATTAGAGTAGGCCCTAATCCAATATGACTAGTATCCTTAAAAGAAGAGGATAATGCCAGGTGAAGAAAGAAACACAAAGGTGTAAGACCACCATGTGAAGATGAAGCAGAGATTGGAGTGATGCAACAGCAAGCCAAGGAACACTAAGGATTGATGGCCACCATCAGAATTTAGGAAGAAGTAAAGATTCTTCCCAGAGTTTCAGAGGGAGTATGGCTCTGCTGTCACCTTGATTTCAGACTTCGAGCCTCCAGAACTGTGAGACAATAAATTTCTGTTGTTTTAAGCCACCCAATTTGTGGTAATTTGTTAGAGCAGCCATAAGAAACTAACACAGATTTTACTACTGGGAAGCAGGATGCTGATGTAACAAACATCTAAAAATGTGAAATTGGCTTTGGAAATGAGTAATGTGTAGAGACTGGAAAATTTTTGAGATGTTTGATAGTAAAAGCCAAGACTGTCTTGAAAAGATCGTTGGTAGAAATAGGGACATTAAAGGTGGCAGAACATCATAGAAACCCAGGGAGTTTAATATTACAAGAGCGGTGGAAGAGGTTGCATGGGATTAAGAAAAAAGTGAGAAGTAAGTAAGCCTAATCATTTTACATGCTATTCAGGGAAAAAAACAAAGTGATTCCATTAGTACAACAACCAGTAACCCTACTTTAAGAATTAGTATTAAGCAAAAGAAAATTAGTATTAAGAAATGCCTTAGGGCTTCCCTGGTGGCGCACTGGTTGAGAGTCTGCCTGCCGATGCAGGGGACGCGGGTTTGTGTCCTGGTCCGGGAAGATCCCACATGCCGCAGACCGGCTGGGCCCGTGAGCCATGGCCGCTGAGCCTGCACGTCTGGAGCCTGTGCTCCGCAACGGGAGAGGCCACAACAGTGAGAGGCCAGTGTACCGCAAAATAAAAAAGAAATGCCTTAGAGCTAATATCACCTTGGAGTTAATAAACTTTTATTAAAATGTAGACAGCTAGGTCATAGACTGTCTTCTCTTCCTAATTTACTTATATTGATTGGACAAATTCTGGCAGTATATATGGAAAGTCAAATTACTTAGCCTTTTTGCCTCAAAAAGGCTTGAGTAATGGGCTAATTTTAAAGGTGGATGATATAATTTCTGTACTAGGTTTCACTTTAGCTGGTTAGTACTTTTCTCTCTCTTCTAAGTCTGGGTTATATGCCCCTCTTGAGTACATCCACAGCAGTGGGCACTTACTACAATTACTTGCTGTGTCCACTACGTCCTGAAAGGCTTCTTGGTCATCTTTGTATCTTCCACATGGCACAGGTGTCTTCTACACATGGCAGTTCTCACCAGAAGTGTTTTTGGAATGAATTCTATTTAATTTCATTTGCATTCAAGTTTTCCAAGCAACTTCCCACTTCAAGGATGGTCCATATGATATTTCTTCTTCATAGAATACTCTTTTCTCTATTCTAGCTAGTTTCTAACAAAACTTCAGGTCTCAACTCATACTTTTATGAGGGATTTTTTTTTTTTTCTTTTTTTTGCATCCCTCCACACAGGTTAAATCTGAGTTATGTGCTCACAAAACACACTGTATTTTCAACAGAAATATACATCAGGAAACTCCCCTGGTGGCGCAGTGGTTAAGAATCCACCTGCCAATGCAGGGGACACAGGTTCAAGCCCTGGTCCAGGAAGATCCCACATGCCTCGGAGCAACCATACCCGCAGGCAACAACGACTGAAGCCGGTGCGCTCTAGAGCCCATGCTCCGCAACAAGAGAAGCCACTGCAATGAGAAGCCCGCACACCGCAACGAAGAGTAGCCCCCACTCGCCACAACTAGAGAAACCCTGCGTGCAGCAACGAAGACCCAACGCAGCCAAAAATAAAGAAAATAAAAGATAAAAAAAAAAAAGAAAGAAATATAGATCAATGGAACAGGATAGAAAGCCCAGAGATAAACCCACGTACTTATGGTCAACTAATCTATGACAAAGGAAGCAAGGATATACAATGGAGAAAAGACAGTCTCTTCTATAAGTGGTGCTGGGAAAACTGGACAGCTACATGTAAAAGAATGAAATTAGAAAACTACCTAACACCATACACAAAAATAAACTCAAAATGGATTAAAGACCTAAATGTAAGACCGGACACTATAAAACTCTTAGAGGAAAACATAAAAAGAACACTCTTTGACATAAATCACAGCAAGATCTTCTTTGACCCACCTCCTAGAGTAATGGAAATAAAAACAAAACAAAAATAAACAAATGGGACCTAATGAAACTTAAAAGCTTTTGCACAGCAAAGGAAACTATAAACAAGACAAAAAGACAACCCTCAGAATGGGAGAAAATATTTGCAAACAAATCAACGGACAAAGGATTAACCTCCAAAATATATAAACAGCTCATGCAGCTCAATATTAAAGAAACAAACAACCCAATCAATAAATGGGCAGAAGACCTAAATAGACATTTCTCCATAGAGGACATACAGATGGCCAAGAGGCACATGAAAAGCTGCCCAACGTCACTAATTATTAGAGAAATGCAAATCAAAACTACAATTAGGTATCACCTCACACCCGTTAGAATGGGTATCATCAGAAAATCTATAAACAACAAATTCTGGAGAGGGTGTGGAGAAAAGGGAACCGTCTTACACTGTTGGGGGGAATGTAAATTAATATAGCCACTATGGAGAACAGTATGGAGGTTCCTTAAAAAACTAAAAATAGAACTACCATACACCCCAACAATCCCAGTACTGGGCATATACCCAGAGAAAACCATAATTCAAAAAGACACATGCACCCCAGTATTCATTTCAGCACTATTTACAATAGCCAGGACATGGAAGCAACCTAAGTGTGCATTGACAGATGAATGTATAAAGAAGATGTGGTACATATATACAATGGAATATTACTCAACCATAAAAAGGAACAAAATTGGGTCATTTGTAGAGACAGAGATGGACCTAGAGACTGTCTTACAGAGTGAAGTAAGTCAGAAAGAGAAAAACAAATATCATATATTAACGCATATATGTGGAATCTAGAAAAATGGTACAGGTGAACCGGTTTGCAGGGCGGAAATAGACACAGATGTGGAGAATAAACGTATGGACACCAAGGGGGGAAAAAGGGGGGTGGGGGGGATGAACTGGGAGATTGGGATTGACATGTATACACTAATATGTATAAAATAGATAACCAAAAAGAACCTGCTGTATATATATATATTTTAAAAAACCACTGTATTTTCAATTCAAAGCACTTACTACACTTGTAATTAATTGTTTAAACTCTCCCCGCCAGATTTCTGTATGAAGTTATTGTTGCTTCCACTATGCCAGACAGTATAGGCTAAATGCTGGCTGTTAGGTGCTACTAATAACTATTATGGACGCTCAGTAAGTTTTTTGAATGAATAACCGTTTACAATTCTGTTTCTCTTGGTCTTGTGACATATATTGAAATGTACTAAGAACAGAGTTCAGTAGTACACGAGGCACTCTTGGTGGCTCCCCGTTATTGACCAACAGTTATAAGCACTGCTTTTCCTTACTATACTATAGCAGGCCGTTTCCCATTTTCCATATCTCAACCAGTGATGGACTGGTCTCAACCGGCCATGCTGGTAATACTTAAAGTTAGGGATGGCTGCTCCCAGAGAACTGTACACTGGCCAGGAATGCGCATCAGTTTGACAAGAAACAAATCCGACACCAGGCCCTCGGGGATGTGACCCCCGACCCCGGCGGGGCCATCACTTCCCAAGCTCGTTCAGAACACTCAGGAATCACAGGTTTCTGCTCTGCCTCGCTAAGTGCTACTTTTGGCAAACGGTTTTGCTGGGAATTGGTTTCCTTGGTTCCTAGACGTCTGTGCACCTTCTGGTTATCTGACGAAACCTTTCACCTCATAGGATGGTTTCAGCGCAGGACTGACTTTGGGGTCTCGTACAATTCCCAAGGATGTGAAATGGGCCCCTCACACAAACGCTCGGTGTGGAGATGGCAAGGGGGGCAAAACTCAAGTCGCCGGCATGCATCACGGACAAACATTCCGTACCCGGTAGACGAAGAAGTAGGACCACCTGTGTCGCCCTCTCTCCTCCGCACCTGCACAAACCTTCGACTGCCCTGCAGGGTCGGTCACCGGCTCCTCAGCTGTAAAGGCCACATACTCCGTGGAGGGTCCTGAACCCCAGCTACAGAGATTCCAGACTACGTTCGCAAGGCCGCGCTCTTACCCACCCCGCCGGCATCGCACCCAACCCCTCCCCGGACCCAGTCACCTTGGCCGCCTGACTCATGGCTCTCCTCACAGCTGCGACTACTCCTCCAGCGGTCGAGTCGCCACGCCTCTCGGCAACCAGTCACCGCCTGGCGCGGACGGTCCAACACCCCGTAGCCACGTTCTTAACGAGCCGCAACCAATCACCACGCAGCATCTCCTTCGTAGCCCCGCCCCCCGTGGAGGGACAGGCGAGAGGTGTTTGCTAAGCCGGTACCCTCTAGGAAAACCGCGAGGATCCGCCGAGCTCAATTACAGTCGAGAGGAAAACGGAAATCACCTGGACGCCATGTTAGTTAGGGGCAGCGGCACTTCCGGCCATTTCTGAGGGAACCGCAGGTGGCGGAGCGTGCATTGACACTTAGTTGCTGGCTTCGGCACCTTTCACTACTTACCTCCTGTTTGGCGGTTGGGGTTATCTATTAAGGAATCATTATTTTAACGTTTCCGGGTTGCAAATGTGTCCTTGTAAAAGTGCATAAATAAGAGCCAAGCCCTAACAACTATCGTAGGCGTTGACTGGAATGCTGACTCCCAAAAGCGCTATTGGTACATTATCCCACTTCATTCCTCTAGAAGGAGAGGTTGAGTTACTTGCTCAAGTCCACACGATTAGCAAATGGAGGTCTGGGATACAAATGCCTATGATTAACCTGAAAGCTCAGTCTTACCCTCTACTCATCCTGCCTACTCAACTCGCCCTACTCCTTGGTTTTGCTGGTCAAGAGGTTGGAAACAGTTTATTAGCAGCATCATGATCATAAACAATCATAAAGCATTTAAGTACATTTAACTTATGACCTTGCAAGCATCAAGAAAAAAATCTCAACCTTGCTCCCATTGCATAATCATTGTTTGTCTTCCCTACCCACCCCCCCCCAGGTTAACTTTTAGGTAAAATTGACTTTTTATTAGGAATGAAAGATTTAGACCAATGGATATCAAAGACCCTTTTCCTTCTCTGTGATTTATGTCATTTTAAAGAATATTGCAAGTCATCATGAGAATAGCAATAGTTGACTTTTTAAAAGTTAAAATGAATTGGATTTGCAAATGAGTGTTTAACATAAGCAATTAAACCAAATATACTGGATACTGTCTTTTATCCAGGAAACAATAAATTAGATGATCTTGTGACATTGTATAGTAGTGCCTTCTGATTGCTAATGAATGATTCAAAGATGCCAATTTTCATTTTCAGTTTAGAATCACAGCCCAATCTCCTAAACATTCATAATTTATTTTTATAATTTCTGGCTAACTAGGGTCCTGTATTCAGTTAACTAAAGCCGCTTATCTGCCAATATTTGAAAGTATAGTTTCCATAGTGCCCAAAAATCAATTCAGTCCTGAAGCTTCTCTTCTCTTAGGTAAATCTGTATGGTTCCTTGAGCTGTTCCATAAAAGAAGTGACTATTCTGGTTGTTCTGGGAATATGTCTTGGTTTGTTGGCATCTCAAAGTGCGGGACCCAGAACTGAACAGGAAATTCCTACATGTTCATCATGTAAGGTCATGGACTATGTGGTAGGCAGACTAATGGCTTCCAAAACATGTCCCTATTTAAATCCTAGGAACTTTTGAATATATTATTACCATTTATGACAAAAGGGGCTTTGCAGATGTGATTAAATCAAGGATTTTAAGATGGGAAGATTATCCTGGGTTGTCTGATGGGCCCAATGTAAACACAGGATCTTTTTTTTTTTAAGATTTACTTATTAGTTATTTATTTATTTATATTTATTTTTGGCTGTGTCGGGTCTTAGTTGTGGCACCCAGAGTCTTCATTGAGGCACGTGGGATCTTTCGTTACAGCACATGGGCTTCTAATTGTGGCGTGCGGTTTTCCTCTTCTCTAGCTGTGGCACGCAGGCTCCAGAGCGGGTGGGCTCTGTAGTTGTGGCACGCAGAATCCAGAACAAGTGGGCTCTGTAGTTTGCGGCATGCAGGCTCTCTAGTTGAGACGCTTGAGCTCAGTAGTTGTGGCACGCTGGCCTGGCTGCCCCATGGCATGTGGGATCCTAGTTCCCCAATCAGGGATCGAACCCGCATTCCCTGCATTGGAAGGTGGATTCTTTACCACTGGACCACCAGGGAAGTCCCAACACAAGGATCTTTATAAGTGGAAGAAGGAAGCAGAGTCAGGGAGAGGTTTGCAGATGCTCTTCTGTGGTCTTTGAAGATGGAGGAAGGGCCAGAAGCCCAGGGACACAGGTGGCCTCTAGAAGACAGAAAAGGCAAGGGAACCGGTCTCCCCCAGAGCCTTTAGAAGGAATGCAGCCCTGCTGACACCATGATTTTAGCCCAGTGAAACCCAATTTGGACTTCTGACTTCCAGAATGTCATCTGCTTGTGGCCCCTTCCATCTTCTAAGTCAACAGTGGAGCATCTTCAATCTTTGATTCTCACCCCTGCTTCCATCATCATATCTCCTTGTCTGAGTCTCACTGTCCCGTATCCCTCTTTCATTTAAAGGGGTCCATGTGATTACACTGGGCCCACCTGGATAATTGAGGAATCTCCCCACCTGAAGACCCTTAACTTAATCATATCTGCACATCCCCTTTACCACGTTAAGTAACATATTCACAGGCTCCAGGGATTAGGACATGGAAATCTTCTGCCTTTCATACCCACTTTGGGTGAAGCTGGTCAATAAGGATGAAATGGAAGGAAATGAACTAGGAGAAGCAGACATGGGCCTGATCACTTAATAGCTTATAAGCCAAGTTTAGGATTTTATATTTAATTCTACAATGAAATGCCTTACCATCAAGAGAGTGACATCATGATTTATATTTTATAAAAATCATCTTGGCTACTGTATAGCAAATGGACTAGAGTAGAAGCAGATAGGCAAACTAGGAGGCTTTTGAAGTACTCCAGGCAAGATATGATAGAGGCTTGGATTAGGGTGGTGGAGTAGAGGAGGTGAGAAGTGATTAGATTCATATGTGTTGAAAATCCACAAAGAAGAGTTGATGATTGCAAGGCTTTTGGCTTGCGCAGTTTGGTGAATGGTATCATAGTAGATGTAAAATGCTGCAGGAAGAGGTTTTTAGATTGTTTGTTGTGAGGGAGTAAAAATAAATTTGAAGTGCCTGGTAGACATCCTACTGAAGGTGGTGAGTAGGCAGAAATATGTATCATACACCAATCTGGAATTAAGGAGTTGGGAGATAAATACTAGAGTCATTACTCTGTAGATAGCAAAGCCTCTTAGTGAAAGATGACCATATTATTTACTACCCAACCCAGTATATATTCATTTTTTAATTTTGACAATTTCAGTCTTACAGAAAAGTTGCAAGAATGATAGAATTTGCAAATACCTTTCACTCAGTTTCCCCTACTGTTAACATTTTACTACAGTTGCTTTATCCTTTTCTTTTGGGGGGATCTCTTTACTGTTTGAAAGTGAGTTGCAGACACAATACTGCTATACTCCTAAACACTTCAGTAGGTTTTTCTCCTACAAAAAAGACATTCTCTTACATCAGTGGTTCTCAAAGTGTAGTTCCCAGGTTAGCAGCAACTGCATCACCTGGAAACTGTTAGAAACCTAAATTATAGAGCCCCACCCCAGATCAACTGATTTTGATAATTTTGCTATATGTATGTGGGGAAATTAATAAGACTTTCAAAACTATTTCCTAATTTGTATGCATTATTTAGATTTCACCAATTGTCTCAGGAATGTCTTTAATACCAAAAGTACCAAATGGGACACTTCTGTGATTAAAGGGGACCACTATCAATAATTTTGCCAAGGCAAAGTGGTAAAGGTATAATTTTTCATAATAAGGACACTTGGAGATTAAGTGTTAGAGAAGAGGGCGAAGAATGGAATGCATTGAAAGACCTGGAACAGAAGGCTCACTATGAAGGAGAAATAGCATCCAGAAAGGTAGGAGAGTGAAGGCTTTTGCTGAAAAGAGGGCATGGTCAACAGTGGCAAATGTTGCCAAGGGGTCAAGTATAATTGGAATTGCCTATAGGATTTTGTAAGTGGAGGTCCTTAGTGACCTTGACAAGAGGCAAATGGTTTCAAAAAAGAAAGATAAAGTGGACACAATATATAGAAAACTCTTTTTAAAAGGAGCAAAGAGATGGAGGGGTATGTGGGGTTAGGAAAGGTGTTGTTCTTTTAAGGTGGGGCATCTTACATTATGCTGATTAATGCTGGGAATAATTCTTTGCAGAACAGTCTAGGGAGCTTTACAAACTACTGATGCCTGGGTCTCTCACCCCCAGAGAGTCTGATTTAACTGACCTGAGGTGTGGCCAAGTTCCCAGGGACTTTTTACATGCTCCCCAAGTGATTTTAACGTGCAGTCAAGATTGCGAACCACTGCTAGAGTGAGAAAAAAAACGGATGCAGGAGGGCTGACTTGCTGGAGCTAAGACCTATGTAGCTGACAAATGAAGTTATCATGGTGTCTCTGCCAGCAAAAATGGCCAGTACTGCTTAGGTTATCAAATCTTTTCAGTTACAGTATCCGATTTTTCCTGCAAGCATCCATAAGTTAAGCAAAGGGCTTACTGCAGTAACACCGCTCCCCAAGAGACAAGAAAGGAAGAAAAACGACCTTGGTGCGGAACCCTCGGGCCTCCAATCAGGAACCGCGCTCCAGCTTAGTCGCGCCCAGCGATTCCCCTAGAGCTGCCGCGCGCCCGCAGCAGCCCAGCGCACGTCGCCAGTGCGCACGCGCACGAGCTGCCGGGACAAGAGAGCAGCGGTCCCCTAGCGGGCTTGGCCGCCAGCTCCCGCCCTCTGCCAGCTCCCACGGCTCCTCCCTCCTCCCGACCTTCTCCCCGGCCAGCCGCGCGGGAGGGAGGCCGAGATGGCAGATGAGATCGCTAAGGCTCAGGCCGCTCGGCCTGGTGGCGACACGATCTTCGGGAAGATCATTCGCAAGGAAATCCCAGCCAAAATCATTTATGAGGATGACCAGGTAGGCACCGGGCGCCGCCTCGCTCGTGGGCTGAGGCGGGGCAGCCGCCTGTGGACACGGGGGTTTCCCGTAGTGGGAAGGGAAGGGAA